AAGAATCAAACTAAGGGCCTAGTGCAGCCCGACACATTGCCAAATCTTGATGTTAGTTAAAATATTGGGATATATAAGACTTGACCCTTCACTACCTGCTGATCCACTTCTGGAACATTTTCAGCACTAGAACATAATGCAATCTGTTCTCTTCAGATTTTTGCCCCTTGAATTTTTTTAGGTAACATGTATGAATTTCATGCAAAAAATTAAAAAATTTTCAGTCTTCAGCATAAATGGGTGAATAAGAATCAGGGTGGTGACAAATGCCTGGAGAGGCTGAGGCAGGAAAACTGCCATGAATTCAGCCCAACTAGGGCTGTAAAATGAGTTCAAAGCAAGCCTGGACTACATAGTAAGACCCTATCTCAAAAAGAAAACAGAATAGTTTGAGTCTTTCCGTGTTGCCCATGCTAGCTTTGAATTCATAATATTCCTGCTTCAGCCTCCCTAGTAGCTGCAAGTCACTGTGGTCATCTCAGGCACTGGCTTTGGTTCAGAGCTCCTGGGAGATAGCACTGAGGAAGGGAGGAGCAGCCTCTGGGTTTATTGACCTGCATCACCCGCTGCTGTGCTGCTGTCCAGTGGGCCCCAGCTCACCTAGACAATCTGTGCCAAGCAGCCCTGCAGCTGGGGTATCATCCCTGTGCCTGGCCAGGCCCTGCAGCCGGGGTGTCGCCTCCTGTGCCTGGTGGGCCCTGAGCTGGGGTGTCTTCCACTGTGCCTGGCCTGGCAGCCCCGCAGCTGGGTGTCCCTTTGCTTGGCCCTTATCTGGCCTGCGTTGCACGCCTTCCGTTCCCAGGGGGGTGCAGCCTGCGCTGTGGTGTGGACAGTTGGAATGGGGGGCTGAGTCGTGGCCAGACTGGACAGCCACGGCTTCCTCTGCCATCTTCATTGTGCTCCCCTTCTTCCTCCAGCCCAAGAAAAATAATGAAACCTGTAAGTAATATTCCATTACATAGGGTATGTATAAGGCTTTTTAGTAAAAGATCTAATTAACCTGAGAGGGTGCGGAGGAATTTTTCTATTAGCTAAACCCAGTTTTAGCAAATCTTTCCGTGTTTCAGGCTTCAGCTGTGTGCTGTTTGGGGGAAGAAAAAACACCTTGCATGTAGGGCAGATTCCCACCATCCAGGGCCTTGCTGCTGCTGCCCTGACGCTGCCGTCTCATACCTTTCTCCTCTCCCTGCCTACTGAGGAAGGAAGTACCCAGATCTTTTTTTAAACGGAGAAAGCAGTACAGCCTTCCCTCTGCCCAGCGAGGCCCTGCTGCCTCCCGGTGTCAGTGGTAGGGGCGCCTTCAGCCAGCACTGCCTGCCTACTGTGGAAGTAACTGATCACACCACGAAAACCGCAGGAGCTGTAGGTTGCAGGTGGGCATGGCTTGCGCTACACAGGAAATTCGTTTTCTGTATCCCCCAGTTCTCTTAAATTCTGCTCAAGTTGGGCCCTGAGTCGTCACCTTTTCCAAGGGATTAAAATCTTTCTTTAATAGGATGGGATGGAGAAGCAGCCTGGGGCCAGCAGCCCTGAATCTCAGCACCGTCTCTTCTTCCTGGCCACATTGCAAAGCCACTGCAGAACTGAACTTCTTTACCTCTGCTCTGAACCTTTCCTCTCGTCTTTTGTCCCAGGCTGTCAGTGAGATCATTGTCACACTGCCTGGTGAACAGTAGACCCTCAACAGACACTTCCTTCCTGGCTGCTCTCCAAAGGCACTGTCCCCAGAGCTATGTCACATGTGATAGTAGGAAGCCCCATCACTGTGCTGACCACTTGAGGTGAGCACTTGTCCCCAGCAGCACAGGTGAGCATTTGTCCTCTGGCCCTATCTCAGTGGTTTCTGGGTTGCACTCCCAGCCCTTTGTTTATTGTTACATGCCTGCGTGTTTAGTTTAAACATTGCCTTGCTAAGTGCTCAGTTGCCTGGGCTGGGCTTGATCTTACAGTCCTCCTGCCTCAGCCTCTCAGTGCCCAGCTATCAGTATCCGTAACAGTAGGGTATAGAACCTGCATTTCAAAAGACTTCAGAATTTAAGAAAGTGAAAGGAAAAAGTTTTGTTTTAGCTGTTGGTCTTATAGCCTCAGAAAACCCTAAAGCTGCCCTACCCAGCTCCTGCCATAAAGATGTAGGGAAAGAGGTAAGTGGGCCAATGACCCCGGGGGCAGCTTGGAAAACAGCACTGCCCGCACAGAGAGCAGGCACCAGGGCTTCTCCCTGTGCAGGGTGGATGCACACTGCTGTGGGGTGTGTGTCACCTCCAGGGCAGCTCCTTTCTGGCAGGGTGTGTCTCCAGTAGCTCTTTGCTCTGTTGTAAGAGGAATGCTGAGTGGCCCTTCAGAGAGTCATCACCCACAGGAATCGGGCACAGGGCAGATACTGGATCCCCGCTCGGACCTGGGCCCCCACTTCCGTGCTGTGGGGTGCTTAATCTTTGTGACTCGCCCCTTACTCCACAGAGTGGTTGTTGCCTGAGATTATAACCAACAAACATGGTAACTTCCAGCAATACAGTGTGTTCTCTCTGTTCTGGAGACAAGAAGCCCAGTACCCAGCCAGGTGGTGTGCCTGGTAGGGGAGCTGTGGCCATGTGCTCTGAACCCTTTTCCGCACCTGTGGTGCAGAGCATCCTGGACTCACAGCTGCCTCTGCTTCTCCTCACATCACTTCCTCCTCTCTCTCTTCCTCTCAGTGCTCTTTTCTTTGCACTGGGGTTCAGACCACCAAGTCGTACCTCCCTGGCCAGGCAGGTCCTCGCAGCATTCTCCAGTGGGACTGGAACTTTTGGCCATCAGGTCAAGCCCTTTTCACTTGAGCTATGTTGTGTGAGCACAGAATCTTCTGGTGGGAGAGAATCAGGCTCAGAAGCCTTGGGTCTAATGCACAGCTCCCCTCGGCTACTTCAGTGACCACAGAGAAACCATGGAGCTCTGAACTTGACTCTCTAAGAGAATATTTAGTGTCTCAGAACTGTGTCGCAGCAGCCTGGGACACCGTGAGGCACCATAACAAACAGTTAGTTCCCCTGGTCACAGAGGGAGCCCTGTGGTTCTGAGGATGGCTGTTTGGCTTTCTGCAGTATTCTGTATCAGAGGGAGTGGCAGCCCGACGGTACCAAGTACTGCCTGGAAACTGTCATTTGGGTAGTGGAATAGCAATAGGACAGTGGCCACTGTCTGGGATTGCCCAGGGCTGGGGGCCGTCCCTGCTTGCCCCAGACACCAGAGTACAAAGCGGTATGATGGGGCTGGGGATTTAGCTCAGCGGCATAAGTGCCTGCCTTGCAAGCAGGCAGTTGTGAGTTCGATCCCTGGTACCGATAAAAAGGAAAAAGACAAAAAAAAAAAAGACAAAACGGTATGATGTGTCAGAAGCACTGGTCCACACCTGGGATTCCAGCACTCTCAAAGTCTGAGGCAGAAGGGTCACACGTTCAGGCCCAGCCTGGGCACTCAGGAACTGAGGGAAACTGTCTCAAAACAGTTTTGAAAGGCTGGATGCAAAGACCCTGAGCTCAGTCCCTACTACAGTAGTGGTGGTGGTGGTGGTGGTGATGATAATTGTTATGTATTGTGTTACATGTGTACGCGTGCAGGATTCCTTTCTCCCTTCCCAGGGACTCGCTATGCCCTCTTTGCACAGCATACTTCACAGCTGCAGAGCTGTGCAGTCACTTTTCCAGAGAAACCTGTGAGAGGCTGGCAGAATATTCTGCTGTGCATGCATGGGGTGTGGGCGGCACACTGAGCTATGTCTCCTGCCCTTTTCTGAGACGGGGGTTTCACTAAATCACCCAGGCTGGCCTCAAACGTGCAGTCCTCTCTCGTCTCAGAGTACTGGGATCATAGCATATCACCATCGAGCCTGGCTCTTCCTGTCTTGTTTAAGGCTCTCTCCAGGCCAAAGTTGGTCAGAAGAGATACAGCCACTAATAGACATAGGATGTTACCTGTTCTGATACCTGGCTCCCTGTATCACAAGACTATTAGCAGTACTGTTTGATTTCCGAGCTAGAAACCTATGCTTCCGAGCTTGACTGTAGCCTGTTGCCTACCTTTGTGGCTGCCTTCAGCTCCCTGCCAGCGGCACCACGTGGATGGCAGCATTGAGAATGTGGACTGAGTTCTAGAGGTTCCAGGGGAACCACAGGAATGATGTGCTTGCCCACAGGGCCTGCTGTTGTGAACCCGAGAACACTAGAAGAGATGGTGCTGTCTCTTTGCCCACCCTGATTATCAGCACCAACCTGTACTTCATGGTTGGCTTCTTAGGAGAGATTTTTGTGGCCAGGACTCTGAGATTCAAGCCAAAGCTCCATCCTCCTCCGCTTCCCTTTGTGCTCCTCCCCTCCTCAGACAAGCCCTGCAGGAAGCCTGCTGAGCACTAGACCCTGGCAGTGCTTGGCTTCCTGGAAAAGTCCAGCTCTATAGGAAGACACTGGCAGTCCACAGCTCACCCAGACCAGAGTGAATGTTTTGTTCTAAGGGTGCTTTCTGAATAATTCTGATCAATCTTGAAATGCACCCATGGATGTTATTCTTTTGTTTCTTCCTTTCCATCTGTCTCTCCCTTCTTTCCTCTTCTTTTTTCCTCTTTCCCTGTTTGCCTGTCTGTGTCCTTCCTTCCTTCCTTTTTTCCTTCCTTCCTTCCTTCTCTTGACAGGACCATACTAAGATGCTTTGGCTCACCTCAAACTTGAGATCCTCCTGCCTCACCCATCCAAATCCTGAGGTTATGGGCATGTGCCACCATGCCCAGTGTGTAATTAACAACTACCCGCCTGTGCCAGACCTTAGAATAATCAGTTGCTGCTTACCACATAGCTGCCCCCCAAGTAAATTAGTAAATAAAAAAATTAAACATACAGATGCTTACAGATTTGGGGGGGTTGATATTTTAGATTCTTTGGCAAGAGACAGCCATCATGACGATTGAAATGATCTCTTTCTCCTTTCCCCGCCTAGTATAGTTATAGTACTCTCACCCTCCCTCTCCACAGGTCAGATGCCAGGCCCAGGTTCCATGATGCCCGGCCAGCCCATGCCAGGCCGCATGATGCCTACCGTTGCAGCCAACATCCACCCTGCGGGAAGTGGTCCTACCCCTGCTGGTATGCCTCCGATGGCAGGGAACATCTTAGGACCCCGAGGGCCTCTCACAGCGCCCAATGGCATGTGTAAGTAGCACGGGGAAGACACATTTCCTTGAGGTCTATCAGGAAGAGTAGGGGGCTTCATTCCCTCCGTGCACAGCATTAGCCCTGGCAGTGGTCTCCAGAAGATCAGTTCAAGTCACTGCTGTGGCTTGCAGGTCCACAGGTGACAGGGGGCACATTGTACTCCAAGCTGGGTCTGTATGGGGTCCAGTAAGGGCTCAGCTCCTAAGCCTGTTGAAGTCCAGTTTGAGTCTCAGGATACATACGATGTTTCTAGTGCTCTTTTTTCCCTGCTGGAGCTTTTTGTAGTAACAGGTTTCTTGTAGCCTTTCTTAATATATTGATGGCAGCTGCATAGACTGAGGAGGAGGGTTCCCATCTGTGTCAGGAAGGAGTATGAGGTCCCAGAAACTAGTGGACAGAGCACTGATTACTCCTCCTTAGTGGCCAGCTGGAGCCCTATGTAAGGCCAGGTCAGGTCTCCCACAAGCCCCTGCTCTTCTGCTGCTGCCAAAGGGCTACCCTGGAAGCTCTGGCCTGTTCTCCCAACACACACACCTGCTCAGGAGGAAGTGGCCTCAGCAGGCCCTCAGGCACACGCTACACTTGGTTCATCTGGAAATTCATACATGTGGTGGAGACGGGGAGAATAAGCAAGAATCCCTAGCCTTTAGGAACTTTGGGGAAAGGAAGCAAACAGTTGGGTAGGATTTACTGGAAGTTACAGGAAGACTGCAGAGTTCCTTAATGCTCACTTTCCAGGGCAGGGAGGCCAGTTTTCCAGACATTTGATGTTCACCTCGGTCCCCAGGGCCTGGGACAGAGCAGTGCACAGCAGGAAGACATGGTTTAGCTGAGCAGATAGGAAAATGGTGACCTGCCTTGAGTGGTCGTCAGAGGTTCCAGTACCATGAGTACAGGAAAAAATGAACAAGGAAAACGCATAGAGGGGCCAGCTTCCAGCAGCATTGGTTAGTACCATCTGCAGTACAGAGACAATGCCACTGGCTCCCCGTGGTTTGTGACTTCAGAACTTTACCCCAGCGGAGCCCCAAGTGGTGTGGGGGTTCACAGGCACTCGCTGCCTTGAATGATGGTTGCAGGAGTTGCAAGCTGCCTCCCTGGCCCTCAGGTTCTGGGCAGGCACTTGTGCCACTGAGCTAAATCCCCAGCCCCAGAAATTTCTTTTTTAAAGGACTGAGAATATAATATTGCTCAGTGCAAATGCCCAGTGTTCAATCCCCAGTACCACAAAATAAATGTGTGAATAAAATTTAGAAATTTAGTAAAGGGAGCCATTAAAGTGAAGTTAAAATACCATGGAGTTGTGACAAAGAGTGTGGAGTGATTTCTTGGAAGGCACGAGTAGGTTCAGGCACCATCCGTTTCCCCAGGGACGCTCATGTGTCCCTCTGTGACGTGTTTCCCTGTGTGTATTGCAGATCCCCCTCCGCCACAGCCGCCACCGCCACCGCCGCCTGCAGATGGGGTCACTCCCCCGCCTGCTCCAGGTCCGCCGGCCCCGGCCGCTCCTTAGCCAAGGAAGCACAAAACCTGTGTGCCCACCACCACGGCTGAAGTGAACAAGACTTGAATTCCTGGCCCATCTCAAGTTTCCTTCAGGATTCTGTTTTCACAGCCTCAGCACACACCTGTGTCTCCCCACTCCTCCTGACCCCTCTCCGAACTCCAACACAGCCTGTGCTCGGTGGGACGCCCATGGTGACAGTGTGGCATGGCTGTCCTCCATCCTGTGACTCCTGTCCTCCAGGTGTGGGGTGTGGCTGGCAGGTTATGGGCAGTGTCTGTCAGCGTTAGTATTCAGTGTCGATGTTTGCTCTCCTGCTACTTTTTGCTTTGTCTTATGCTTCTATGGATAATCCTTTATAATTATTATCTTTTCATATGTTATGATTGTTTTAAAGGAGAGCATCCTGAGTTAATAGGAACCAAAAAATGGTGATGGCAGAATACAGCCACAGGGGACACACCTTAAGGCATTACAAGTGACCTTAATTCTGCTTATCCGAGCTGTGAGTGATGCTGCTGGTGAAGTTTGCTGAGACCTTGGCCACACATCAATGCAGCAGACTGAAGAGATGGGAAGGGGCACCCCACTGATGAGTGTTTCCTGGGAGGCCTCTGTCCAGCCTCCAAGATGCCCTTTGAACTGGTGGAGGAGAGCACAGACATGAGGACATGGCCACTCCTTCCCGGCCCCTCTGGTTCTGGTTTTCTATGCAGATGATTTGTGGGGGTGGGATGGGGAAGTTGTGTTTTGAGGGCTGGATTTGGGGGGCATTCCTAGGCGCTCTAGATAAGCCAGGAAAGTTGAAGGAGAGTACAGCAATGACCCCCTCCCCCAGTCAATCTAGCCTGCTTTGCATGCCTGCTTTTTTCTCCCTCTTTTAAAAAAAAAAACCTTCAAAATAAAATTTTTTTTAAAAAGTAGATAGTGTTAAGCAATTTAGCTCATAGAACTTAACCGGTTAGGATGTCTGAGGGTCAGGTCCCCAAACTACCTCTTGCAGTAGCCAGGGGGGGTGGCATTCGTGAAGCGGTACTTTAGGTTCAGGGTGGGATTAGAGAAGTGAGGCAGGGTCATCAGCCTCTCTGCAGTCTCATGTTGCACTGTCAGGGGGTGTCAAAGAGGTGCAGAGGGTACCAGGACCCTCACTTGGTTCCAGAGCATCATGCTTTAATGTGGGGGTAATCCAGCTGGGAGGGTGGGGTGTCACTAGAAGAAGAGCTACAAAAAATGCCTTAATTGAGCCCATATCTGGCCCTGCTGATGAGTGCCCTGAGAGTTCTGTGTTTGTCCTCCTTCCCACTCCCCCCACCCTGTGACGAGCGGAAGAGAGGTTTTCGGAGCTCCTGGCTGCTTCTCTTCACGGTCTCAAATGGCAGTTGTATTACTTAGAATGTAAGCTAGGACATCTCTTGGGTATCTTTTTCTATGTATTTTCTAAAGCTTTACATATGAGAGGGTGTAGGAAGGTATTTGGAACACTTTAGAACTTTTTCCCTTAATAACAGAAAGCAAAAAATAAAAACCACAAGTGAGATTTGCCTTCAGACCCTCAGGTTTATCTCTCACCAGGTGGCCCTGCTCAGCATCAGAGTACTGGAATTCTGGAACCCAGGAGACCTTGTTCGTTTTGCATGTTTGTTCTGGACACGGGGTGGAAACAAAGGACCTTGTTCCTACTGGAGTTCACTTCCAATGTATTTGCTTCCAGAAAGACCCCAGTGCCTTTCAACAGTGGCCAGGGTTTCCCCTACTTCCCTCCAGTCTTTCCCAAAGGAAACTCATTCTAAATACTTACCTTTTCCCCTGGAGTCCTAGAAAAAAAACAGAATTTGTGGTTCTTACTGTGGTCCCTTGTAACCTCAGGTCTTTAATGTGATCACTTTCAAAATTAAAAAATCCAGGTGGAAATATTTTTACTATGCTAGTAATCTTACGAAGTACCTGAATTCAATACTGTTATGTTTCAGAATAAGTGATGACATTTTCTTTTTGTGTCTTTAATCTGGTTTCATTCCTGTAATACAGCCACCCAATTTGGGGGCAGGTGATAATAAGTGGTTTTTGTACAAACATCTTTCTCACCGTGGCATTATTTTGAAAAAATGAGGGGAGGGAGTTTTGAGAAATTGGAGCAAATGAATAAATGAAATACCATTTCTGAATTCTGGTCCCATTTTCTGCATTCATGCCCCAGTTTCAGCATGTACCCTATGAAGAACTTAAGAATTAAGCCCCACCTCATCCTAGCAGTTAACACAGGCCAGGCCAGGCCCTCCTCACCAGACCCTCCACACAAAGCCTTGGGAGCAAGAAACTGAGTGTGCCACCCCCACTGTTGTATTGCCTCAAAGTGAACGACAGGGAAGGTCTCCAGAAAAGGCAAATATCTTGCCACCCTACCCCCCCAAAAGAGAATTAGTGTCTCTCAGTGTCAGGGTGCAATTTAGGCCTCAAGGGCAGCAAGGTCTGTGAACGCAACACCTTGAGGACAGCTTTTGAACACACCTACATGCAAACCCATTGCAGCCACTGTCAGAAGATGGTCTGAGCGCAGCAAGCTGAAGGAGAGACTCCTAACACTCCAAGCCCGAGCCTCGCTGAGTGCCGCGCAGCAGAGGCTAGCACTCTGGTGACACCTGCACTCCTCAGAGCAGGTGGGGAAGTTGAGCCTTGGTCCAAACTTTAGAAATGTGAAGACAAATGACATGGTATACAGTGAGATGTGGGCGGCCCACCAGGCTTCCATTGCTCCCACATGTCCTGCCTGTGGTATGGTTCCCCAGATTAATACTTTTATAAGGTGAGTATGGCTCGGGATCCACCCTGTACCCCACAGCTGCTGGGGCTTCCTCTCTGCTACTGCCTCTGTGGGTCTGGAGTGAATGCCAGCGGCTCGTGTGTTAGGTTTCCAGAGCTTCCAGACAGCTGGGCAAAGCAATGCCCATTCAGAATCCCAGGGTTAAGAGTGCTTTGTGCCAGGCAAGAGCTCTTCCGTTCCTCTCATCCACTAGGCATCCAAGGGCCTCCAGGGCTCCAGACCCACAGTGAAGTCACAGTTGCCTCTTCTAGCTGGCAGGGGGATTCCAGGCCATAAACAGTGCTTCACTTAGGTACCGTGTCCTCAGGAACAAAAGGAAACAACATGAGTTTCCAGAGGACAAAGTATGAGGCCCCACAAATTGTCATGCTGGGTATGGTAACCTGTCATTTGGGTCCCTGCTTTCTGGGTTCCTGGAAGCAGTGAGAAAGCACCTGACTACCTCTGCACTGTCTTCATGCACCTTATCCCCAAAGTGAGTGTCGCCCACTGTCCCATGCCAGGTCTCCTGTCGGATCTCAACTTCTTTTCTCTGACTTCTTTCTAGGCCTGTCTCCAGTCTGGCTATGGCCCTGAACTTGGGGCAACACTAAGACCTCCACACCCACTGACTACACAGGAAGTTGAGTCACCCCAAGCCGAAGTTCCAGAGCCAGTGGCAGCTAGCTGTGGGGCTGCATCATTCTGTTTGGTTCTCAGAGGGTACTCGATAAAAGGTCCTTCCTTGTCTGATCTCTCTTCTGGCCCTGGCCTGCCTTACAGAACCTGCCACCCCTCCCAACTCACCACTGCCACCTTCCAGTAGTGGAAAATGCAGCTGGATGCTCCGCCCTGGGCTACAGCCTTATCCCTTTTGTTTGAGACAGTCGTGCTAAAGTGGCCCAGGCTGGCTTCAAATTGGCGATCCTGCATCAGCCTCCTGAGCAGCTGGTATGTGCACCACTGTGTCTGTGGAGCCATCTTTACTACCACCACCCCAGAGGCCTTTCCAGAGACCTTTCAACTCTAGGGAAAGCAGCAAGGTGTCTGACTGTGTGACAGAATTAGTCTGACCTTGGCTTCAAGGGAGATGGCACCACCTGCAGTTTGCAGGCTCAGCAGAAGAGCCATGCCTTAACACAGTGCAGTGACTGCAGCCCATAAAGGGGAAAGCCACACCCTCACCCCCTCCATTCTGTGGCAGGCTACCATCTAATGTGCCTTCCTTACCCGATGGCTTGGAAGGGAGGCGGCAGCAGTAGCACTCAAAGGTGATCAGCCAATTTTTGTGACTGGCTTGGCCCTGACACTTGATGGGCTTCTGGCAGCCATCAGAATTGTGTCATCCTTTCCTCCAATCAGCTTATTCTGCAGTTGCTGCAGGGTCCTAAGAAGTGCTTAGGTCACCTGCTGAGGTGGCAGGTCTCTTCTGAGACAGCCAGCTGAGTTGCCCCACCCCCAGGGGGGCACTCTGATGGTAAGTTGTGGCTCTCTCCCATCTGGCTGGGTTTGGGAGTTAGGATTAGTGATTCAGGAGGCCTTTCCAATCTGGTGACAGTCCTGTTGCCTGAACAAGTGCTACTGTCATCTCAGAAAAGGATGTCATGACATCGTTTTCTGAGATGACAGCAGCACTTGTTCAACTGGGAATCCAGACTTGAACCTCTGCGGTGAGGAAGCTGTGATCAGTATGAAGAACTCAGTTCCTGTCTTCACTTCTGAGACTCCTGTGGCTGTCCTGTTCCCAGCAGCCCATCCAGAAACCGTCCCACAGCCTTGTTATGTTCCCTGGTGAGACCACTGCACTTTTTTGGTTTGAGAGTCTCACCATGTAGTTCAGTCTGACCTGGAACTCACTATGTGCCCAGGCTGGCAAACTCCTGGCAACCTTACTCTCTCTGCCTCCCAAACCACATGCCGGGATTATAGGTATGCACCACCACACCTGGCTCACTGCTTTAACTTTTAAATGTCTTAAGTGAAAGTGGGGCACTTGGGTGGGGAGGAAAGGAAACAAGGCTTCCACTGAGGCCTTAACTTTGCATACTTATCTCCCACTTCTGAGGCCAGAGAAGCAGGAATGGAAATGAAAGGTCTGAAAGTGGAATCTTGGTTCAGGTTTTGGCCTTAGCACTTTATTGGTGTGATTTGCACAGCATTGCTAATTCTGTCAGTTTGCAGACAGAACCAGTAAGACATCTGTAGTACAACTGTGAAAAACAAGGTAAATTAGAGCACTTGACCTGACCCCTCACCTCCTGAAGCCACCAAGGCTGGGGCACCACCCTGACTGCCCACCAGCTGAGCTCAGGCCCCCAACCTGGGCAGCAGCACCAGAAAGGCTGCCTGTCCAGGCCAAATCATGCCCCTGCACAGCAACTGGAGCTTCTCCCACCCGCTCCCCATGAAGCCAGTGGTTTCTGAGCAGCAGAGGCTGCAAGAAGCTGCCTCAGCTGTGGCAGCGGGAGGCCAAGCCCAGAAGGAAACAGGCACGGGATGCCACTGTCCTATGAGAGCACCCTGGGGCCCAAATGGACAAGAGGCAGGTGAAGGAGCCACAGGTACAAGCTGTAGACAGAGGTCACCTCATTCTCCTGTCCTCGGATCTGTTTTCTTTAGCCTGTCCCCACTGTGCCCAAGAAAAAAATGTAGTGCCTGGACGAGTTTTTTCTATACCTTCACCAGGGCCTCTGATGGCTCCACAGAGGCACTCAGGGCTACCTCTGTGCCTGGCACGGACCCGGGCACACCTATCTCAACGGGCTTGGCTGAAGCCCAGAAGCTGCAGTAACACAAAGGAGTTTTCTGGTGGAAAGCGCTTCCCAGGCTGACCTGGAGAATAGAAGACACCAGGCAGCAGCAGCAGTCCTTGTAGGAGAAACAGGCTTTCCATCAACGCAGCTGTATCAGGAGATGGAATCTCTATCTTGGTCAGGTATTTAAGCTCCTCACAACAGAATGGAAGTATCTCTCAAATAGCAGACTTGCCCGCGTCTCTTTGTGGACTCCTAGCACACTGAAAGGTGGAGACAGTCTGCAGGGGCTAAACTAAGTGACAAGACCGCAATTCTGCCTACCCATCAAACGGTCGGGAATGCATGGCCCTGGGCCGCCCAGAGGTGGGAAACGGTCTCCCAGAACGATAAGTCTGTGTGCCAGGCTGCCTTATGGCCCCCTGGACACTTGAGCTTTGGGGCTTACACCACTGGGAGTTCAGATCATCATGGGGACACACGAGAGCACCACAGTGAGGCAGCAAGTAGCTTGGGCACCCCAAGTAAGCCAAAGGGATGCTTGGAGGCCGCGGGGCTGGGGTCTCGCCCCTTCCTGGCAGCATGTCCCGCCTGCTGGGCGGTAGCCAGTGAGTGGCGGGCGGGCGGATTAGATCTGATCCGATTAGGGCCGGGCCGTCGAGTTCACCCCCTCTCGGGTGCCCGCGCCGCCCAGCCCCGGGCCTCCCGACCTCTGCTCGCCGCACTCCGCTGCCCCTTCCCACGGCTGCGGCGCCCCGGGCCTCCGAGCCCCGCCCCGAGTCGGCAGACCGGCCAGGCCGTCCCCGCCCCCGCGTCCGCGTGCGGGGCTCAGGGTCGGATTCGGGACAGAAGGTGGAGCGCGGCCCCGCAGGCTCGCGCGCACCTGTCGCCCCGCGCCCGCCGTCCGCGCCCGGGGCGGGGGTCGACATCCCCGCCGGCGTCAGCGCTACGTGTGGCGGCGGCGGCAGGGGGGGTTACGGGGGCGGTGCCGAGCGCGGCGCGGGCGGGAGGCGGCGCGGGGACGGGGACGGCGGCGGCGGCGGCATGCGGCGGCGCGCGCTGCCCACCGCGGGCTGAGGGGCCGCAGCGCGGGCGGGGCGCGGGCGAGCGAGGCGCAGCGCCGGGCGGACCGCGCACCACGGCGGGGCCGCGCCATGGGCCCGGGCAGGGGGCCACTGGCGCTGCCGCCGCTACCGCTGCTGCTGCTGCTGCTGCCGCTGCTGGGGACCGTGCGGGTCCTGGCAGCAGGGGCCGTGTCCGGTAAGTGCTTGCAGAGGCCCGGGCTCCGCAGCTCTCGCTCCCGCCTGCGCCGTGCCGGGGTCGGGCCAGGGCCTCGGCGCCTCGGGCCTCGGGACCTCGGGACCCCGGGCCAGGGGTCTGCGAGCTGTGGAAGGGGGCGGGGCACCGTCTGCCCGCGCGCGGCTGCGGCTGGAGCTGGGATCGTGTGGCCGGCGGGACGGCAGGTGGGGAGCGGCCAGAGCGGGGCCCACTCCCGTGATGGGGGTGGGGAGGGGTCTGGGATTGGGATGGCATTGAGGTCTGGGGCGGGGCAAGGCCTAAGGGTGAGATTTCGGGGCGGGGTCTGGGAGTGGGGCGTGACTGCGGTGAGCTTGGGGGCGGGGCCTATAGGTGGGCGGGGTCCTGGGGGTGTGACCGGAGCAAGGTCTGTGGGTGAGATGGAAGGTGGTGAGCAGGTCCAGGAGTGTAAAGGGCACTGCAGGAGAGGGCGTCTGAGGGTGAGGCTCTGGGAGGGGTTTGGGGTGGGCGGGGTCTGAGGGTTAGATGGGTGGGGCCTAGAGGTGGGATGCAGTCTGAGTAGGGGGCAGGGTCTGGTAGGGGGTTCCCCAGGGTAAGACTTCTGAATGGGCTAGAGTTGGGGCGCCCTGTCTCAGCCCGTTAGACTGGATCCTGTCTTGGGTAGGCCATGCGGGAGACTGGTTAGCATGCATTTCCCAGGGGTGGTGATGGTCTAGGGGCGGGGTTTAAAGGGGCGTGGCCCATGTGGTCGTGGGCCATGCGAGGCTGGGCCAGCTAAGCCTTTGCAGGTGACCTTGATGCCCCTCGCCTTCCCTCCCGTAGCGCGTGAGGTGGGCAGCGCAGCCGAGGCTGAAGAGCTGGTGAAGAGTGGCCTGGCATGGGAGCCGCGTGTCAATGACTCGCGGGAAGAGGTGGGCCTGCCAACTGCTGTGGACGATGATAACACGTGGAGGGCACCAGGCCGTGACCTGGGCCCTGCAACCCCTGAAGCCAGGTTGGGGCCTGAAGAGGCGCCCAAGGCCTCAACCACAGTCACAGGCACTGCCTGGCTGGAGCCCGAGAGCACAGGCCTGGGCGGGGTGACCGCAGAGGTGGGCAGCGGCGACACCCAGGCCCTGCCAGCCACTCTCGCGGCTCCCGACAACACCCTGGAGCACTCGACAGTGCCCCCCATAACCCCTGAGGCCACTGAAGCTGGGGCACCCCCCTCACCCACCGCTGCTCACCAGCTGAGCCCTGGGCCCGAACTCCCTAAGGAGAGCCCCTTGGAGGTCTGGCTGAACCTGGGCAGCCACACACCCGATCCACAGGAGCCAGGGCCCACGGAGCCCCTTCCAGGCACCCTAGAGCCCCAGCCCACCTCAGAGATCATCGACATCGACTATTTCGAGGGACTGGATGGTGAGGGTCGTGGTGCAGACCTGGGGGTCTTCCCGGGGTCACCAGGAACCTCTGACCACCACCCCGCCGCTGAGGAAGAGACCCCTTCCTGGAGCCTGCTTGACTTGTATGACGACTTCACCCCCTTTGACGAGTCCGATTTCTATCCCACCACGTCCTTTTACGACGACTTGGAGGAAGATGAGGAGGAAGAGGAGGATGACAAGGATGCAGTGGGAGGCGGAGACCTGGAAGACGAAAACGACCTCCTGCCCACAGAGAAGCCCCGCGCAGGGCCAGGCATGGGCCAGCCCACCAGTCGGTGGCATGCTGTACCTCCCCAGCAGACCCTGGGGCTGTCCCCTGGTGGCAGTATCGCCCTCAGGCCCCGCCCAGGAGAGCCAGGCAAGGACCTGGCCTCTGGCGAGAATGGTACCGAGTGCCGCAGCGGCTTCGTGCGCCACAACGGCTCTTGCAGGTCTGTGTGCGACCTCTTCCCCAGCTACTGTCACAATGGTGGCCAGTGCTACCTGGTGGAGAACATCGGGGCCTTCTGCAGGTAAGGCAGCTGCAGCTGCAGGTGCAGGTGGGTGCTTGGGTTCCAGGAGACCAGAAAGGTTTGCTCAGGCTGGAGCTGTAGAAGGTCTTGTCTTTTGGGGTGAGTTTTTCCTCTCTGCCTTCATCCACACGTGTCTTCCTGGCATTTGACAAGGAGGCCATGGTGCCATTTTAGAGACTCAGAGTTAAGCATAGCCCTGAGGACTTCAAGCCTGCCACCCATACCTCACCAAGGATCACCTGTCTCCTCATTCTTGGGAACTCTGCACCATTGGGAGTCAGCTTCATACTCAGAACTCGCTGCCTTCTGGAAGGATCCTGTGGCAGGAGTGAGCCAGGTGGTTTTTCCAGGCCCTAGAAGTAGGGGGGGAAGCACCCAGACCCCTCTGGGACATTTTCCACTGGTCCCAGGAGGAACAGTTCTGTTATCTGGGGGTCTCTCTCAAGTGCCATTCTTGACACTTCTTTGTTCTTTTTGGAGGCGTGTGGAGAATCAGGTTTCTCGGGGTCTGGGGTGCTGGTGGGGGAACTTAGAAAGCAGTGAACACTGAGCCCTTGGCATCAAAGCTTATGCCACAGTTCCATTTTGTGGCTTCCTTTTCTATCATTGGTGATGACATAAGTAAGGGTCACTCAGGTAAGCTACAGCCACACGGTCCTAGTGGGAGTTGCTCAGCCTGGCCCAGAGGACGAACTGCAGTTTGACTCCCAGTAGAAAACATAAAAGAGAAAGAAGGGAACAGTGGTGCTGCGCTCCTGCAGATAGTGAAGGCTCCCCGGAGGATGAGGGAACCCTGGGTTTTGCTCTTCAGGCTTCAGTTAGAGGAGCTCTAGTGATGGTTTCAGCCTGGGAGCTGTGGAATTTCTGTGCAAAATCACCTTTGGTTCTGGCAGACTCTTGGAATTTGCACCTTCAAAGTGAACTCCCCCCTTGCATGGGGAATCTGGAGTCCCACAGCCTCTGGGGAGCCCTAAACCTTCCCAGCCCCTCCCAGGGTGCTGAGGGAGTTCCTGAGCCAGCAGAAAAGTCAGTTGTGCTCCTCAGGAGCTACTTGGCTGCTCCCTGTGCTCTGCAAGCCCCTTCCTGCCCTCAGGGGGGCTTCTGCACCTGTCCCTCGCAACTCCCCTTGCTCAGCCCGGTCCTGTCTCGGGATCACACTTGGCTGTGGGCAGCCAGGCCTGCCGCGTCTGGAAAACTGTTTTTGCATTCCGCTCACAGGGGACTGCAGCACCACCTTTGTCTGGTCACTGTGACCCTCTGCAGGGACCATCCAAGCTGTGGTGGGATTCCCCGAGACTCTGGGTTAGAGGGCGGCACTCCCAGGGGTCTGCATTCCCTGACAGCCTCACACACAAGGTCCCACCCCCAGGGCAGCAGAAGTTCAGGGAAACTAGAGTCCCTTTCCAGTCATCTCCACTCTGTTCCTCCACCCATGATTTCCCAGCCTCGGCCCCTTTCTCTTGTCTGTCATTCACCCTGGGGTTCGTGTCCTCCCTCCTTTGCCTGCCTCTGTATCCTTCCACATCTTTCTTCTGTGAAGCAGCCTGGTTCCCATGGAAACAGCAATGTCATTGGAAGAGTTGGAGCCTGGGAATGTCCCCAAGGGCAAGAGAAAGTCACTCAACAAAAGGACTAAAACCCACCCAGAGGGTCGATTCTCACTCTGCTTGCAAGATAGTCCTCATAGCCATAGGTTGCTTAGGGAGTACAACTTTAGGGGTCCTGGGGACAGGAGACCACCTATCCATCTCTGTGTTGGTCCTTGCCTGTCAGCCCGAATCTTTCAGTGCCTGCTCAGCCCATGTGAACTAGTTAAGATGCAAAGGAACAAGATAGGTTTTCATGTCCCGGGCAGCTTGGTCCTTTGTAGCCATCAGTGCTGTTTGCCCTGCGGCCCAGTCTGTCCATCACACAGCCAGAGCAGCCAGAAGACCTAGATGCCCCTGCCCCCTTGCTCCCCTTGCCATCATGTAGTTTAGAGTCACTTCCACAGTCCCTCTGGGCCTCTGTTCCCTCCTCTCCATTACGGAGCTCTGAGTGCCTGGTCCACATCCCAGATGGATCAGGCACTGCTGTACAGAGGACAACAGAGTGCAGCTCCAGGCTCTGTGCAGACTCGAGCGCCATGGACCCTCCAGGGGTCCTGGGAGGAAGTATGATAAGAGCTCTGGCCTGTGCGGCCCTGGATGCACCTGCCCCATCTGCTCAGTGCCCTCTGTCATGCTGCAGGTGCAACACGCAGGACTACATCTGGCACAAGGGCATGCGCTGCGAGTCCATCATCACCGACTTTCAGGTGATGTGCGTGGCCGTGGGCTCTGCAGCGCTCGTACTGCTCCTGCTCTTCATGATGACTGTGTTCTTCGCCAAGAAGCTCTATCTGCTCAAGACGGAGAATACCAAGCTTCGGAGGACCAAGTGAGTTTGACCTCTGGCCCGGGGTGTAGTCCCAGGGTTCCCAGAGCCCGCTCTCCACCCCGACCAGAGGTGCAGTGTTTGTGCTCGATATCCACCCCAAGAGAGCCATTCTTACTCAGAATGTGATGGCCAGGAGCATTCCCAGCACCCGGCACCTCCTGCCCTCGCCCTGAGTCACTTCTACCCTGGTCTGCCCCCCTTGCCTGACCACACCCATCTCCGTGGTCAGTGACAGTGAGCAGCCTGTGTGAGGATTTCACCCCAAGTCAGCATGGTGTAGCCCCACCTCACACCCACTGTCACTCTCTGCCAGCTCTTCCTCAGCCAATGCTCAGAAGAGGCGATTTAGTACCACTCTGCATGGTTTTCAAAAGCTGAGCAGCCACTGGTCTGCATGGACGTATAAGGGATTCAAGAAAATCCTCAGCTTGGGGGCTGGGGCTTTAGCTCAGCAGCATAAGCGCCTGCCTTGCAAGCAGGCAGTTGTGAGTTCCATCCCCGGTACTGATAAAAAAAGAAAAAGACAAAACAAAAGAAAAAAAGAAAATCCTCAGTTGGGCCCAGGAGCACACACCTGTGATCCCGGTACTCTGGGAGGCTGAGGCAGACCGCATTCCCAGGTTTAAAGAGGGCAAGGTTACCTAGCTCAGTGAGAAGGGTTCAATCCTCCGCTGCCTCCAAAAAGGGAGGTGGGGAGGAAGGCGGGAAGGCTTCTCCCTCTCCTGGTTGGAATTTGGTGGCAGTGCTGAGAGGTCAGGGTTCACATCCTTTGCTGTGGCCTGCAGGGCTACCTGGGGCTAGAAAGCTTTTCTCAGCTGTCCTGTGACAGGGTGGAGCCTCTTGAACACTCAGGTGTGACCTTGTGCACTGATAGAATCCTGCTGGTCACTGAGGCAAATGTCACAGGAGTCAGGAAAGGAGATGCCCCGAGCTCACCTTCTTTAGGCTCCAGTTGTGGGCTCTACCTCCCCTTCAGCAAGCTACACAGTGGCCCCTGGCCCAGGGCCCTCTCCAGAGAACCTGACTGGAGGACTTTCCCCAGGAAAGGACAAAACACCATCTGCTGCTCCTGTGCCGGTGGCCCAGGCTCCCTGCAGGGCGCAGGGGTACAGGGGCCTTGGCCTCAGCCTCACTCTCCACTGTGCCTAGGCACTGGGACGGAGGAACTCCCGGGGAGGCACAGCCGGGCTCTGCACGGTGGAGGGGACCACCCAAATCAGGGCAGCTGCATGAGGCCAGGGGCCTGGAGGGTCAGGGACGGGGCCGTCCTCCCCGGCAGCCCGTAGCTCTGCTGCACGCTGCTCCACACACTGGGTGCAGTACAGACACTGCTGCGGTTGATTGATTGCCAGGTACATATTTCCCCCACATATCAGCATCCCTGAAATTGGATGGCGTTGTACAGTCGCTGTGAGCCAGATGGTAGTCTCGGTGTAGCAACTGCCTGGCACCCAGGATCGTGGTCATCACTGCTCATATCGTAGTCAGTTCTTTATCTAAAGCCCAAATGAGCTCCTCAAGTGTCTGATAGAAAGCTGAGGTGATGAGCAGGTCCAGGGTCATCGTTCAAGTGGCAGAAGTTTGCTCCTCATGCTGCACTGAGTGACATGCATGAGTCCAGCCTGCGACCCTTTCACTCATAGTCTGCCTTCTTTCTCCCTCCCTGCAGCAAGTTCCGGACTCCATCCGAGCTCCACAACGATAACTTCTCCCTTTCTACCATTGCCGAGGGCTCTCACCCAAACGTAAGGAAACTTTGTGACACTCCCCGTACCTCCCCCTCCCCTCCGTGCCCATGCCTGGGCTCACTTTGATAACACTGTCTGTCGGGCCGCTCTTCCTTCACCTCTCCCTACTGTGTGTGTCTCAGGCCTTTGCTGTGTTTCGAGGCACAGTTGCCAGGGGTGTCAGGGCCAGCACAGGGTCATGAAGGTGGCAGTGGAAGGCAAAGGTGGGACCAGGTGCTGGGTGGCCTGTCACTCCTTTGACACCTGCCATGGTGATGGGCAGTGGATCCCTTTTCCCAGGATGGCTTGTGATACGTAGCTGCACCTGTTCCTGGGCAGTCTGATGATTGCCTTTGGCTTTCCACACGGAGGAGGAAGGCTCTGTGTTCACTGCTAAGGAGTTTCCTGATGGCTGTTGGAGCAAGCTGTGGCCACCCTGTGGGATAAGTAGAGCATCCTTAATGGTCTTTGATAGGCCTGGAAATGGCAGGCGTGGACACTTCCGGTCAGGTCCGGGGTCCCCATGACACCTGCAGAATCATACACCCAGACCAGTGCTCTTCTTAGGAGCAAGGGCTCACGAGTGTCAGCAGACACCCAGTGGGAGTCCAGTAGACCATTTCTAACAGCGCTGGCCTAGTGCCATGCTGAGCGGACTGAGGTTAGAATGCTGGATAACTGTGAGAGAATTTCAGAAATACAGTAGAAACCGAGCTGAGCCCCAGGTCACTGCGTCACATCCACGCTAAGAGTTCTGCACACCTTTGCTGGGGATATAGCCCAGCGGCGTAAGCACCTGCCTGGCAAGTGCAAGGTTCTGAGTTCGATCCCTGGTACAGAAAAAGGAAGAGAAAAAAAAAGGTTCTACACACCTTGCAGGCGCCTTACCCGAGGTGAATCTGTTATCACCACCTAAGAACTAGGTCAACTCTGGACTGAACAGCAGAGTCGAAGCAGAACCCTTGAAGTTCTCTGTAGTCACGGGCAGTAGGGCAGAGCTCGCTGGGGTCTCTGCCTTCTGGAACAGGCAGGAACTTCCTGTGGCGGGGGGACGGGGGCCGTGTGTATCTGTGCTGTTCACTGTAGTCGCCATCAGACGAAGGTCGTGCTGGGTGTGCACGGGATCCCTGTAAGTTCACGATGTTGATAATAAGCATTAAGCCTGATACCTCGGTCGGTAGGCGCCTGGCAGGCAGGCTGGTGGAGTCTTGCTGGCCTCCAGCTGCCCGCTGTCCCCTTAGCGTAGGAGCCCACACTCTGTCCGCATTGATGATCGAAGCAAATTGTGGCCTGTCTTGGGCCCTCTGTCAGCTCTGCTGCCCTTGCGAGGTGCACAGTCCTATCCGCCGGGCTGTCTCCTGTCTGCCGGGCTGTCCCCTGTCCACTGGGCTGTCCCCCTGTCCACAGGACGTACTGCTGCTCACTCAGGCACAAGGCTCCCTCGGGCAGGGCTCTGGCTTTCCCTACACACGGGAGGGAGAGGAGACAGACGGGGGCTGCTGGAGCAGTCCAGGGTTCCTGAGGGACGGAGCCCGCTCTGTGGAGGGTGGGGCTCTGGCCACGAGGGTGCCCCCTAATCCTGAGTTCAGAACAAAACCAGGGTTACTCAACAAAGTGGCCATCTCCTGCTGGGCAGAGCCGGGAAGGGGTGCCAGGCTGTGGGAGTCCCCTGGCTCTGCTTGCATCCAGAGGGCGGCTTCCAGCTGGCGCCCTTTCCCCAACGTGTCCCTGGGAGCACTGTACTCGCTATCAAGCACTGTGAGGGTCAGGAGTGACTGTCCTGGCCAGCAGGAGTGCACTTGGGGTCTCAGCATTGTCTCTGACCCTCACCCCTTAGCTACAGGGGAGCTGTAGTTGGAGCTGGGTCCGCGGTGTAGCCCATTAGGACAGGTGCCCCGGAGGCTGGGGAGGTGGCTCAAAGGTAGAGCACTTGCCTGGCATGTGCGAGGCCCTGGGTCCAACCCAGGCTACAATAAAGGAAAAGCACAGTGGCTACTTGGTGGTGAGGTAAAGCCTCTGCGTCACCCCGACCTCTGTACTGACCCCATCTGTTCGGCGCTGGGCAGCAAGGCTGAGCTCCCACAGTGGACCTGCTACCCTTCCCCCATCCCTCTCCAGCACCCTCGGATTCCCAGTGGGTGTTGGTTGCCCCACAGTGTTCCAGAGAGTTCCGTTTGTGTTAGGGTAAGTAAAGCAATAGAGAGGGTCGTTTCCAAGCCTGCTGCCATCGTCCCTCCTGGCCTCGGGCAGGAAGCCGGTGTCCCATCACCCTCCACCCATTCCTGCTTCTCCTTTGGCCCAGACTGCAGTGGCGCCATCTTGAGTGGACCCCAGGCCACCCAGGCTGGTCCTGTGTGAGTCTCATTGTGTCCAGCAGCCTCCCAAGGGGCCATCGGGAGGTGGCAGGGTGCTCTGAGCCACTTTGTCAGTGAAGTCCCCAGAGCCTGTGGTGACTACAGCTGCCTGCCCCGCATGGTGACATCATGCCCTGCGAGCCCACAGCTATCCAGGATTTGCATTTATTCCAAGAACTTCCTGCGTCCCTTTGTGCTTTTCCTGTGTTTGAAACTTTCTGACATGGCAGGCTCTGCACTCCTCTGGAAAGTGTTGGCATCGGTCCCTGGGGTCCCGGCTGAACCCCACAGTGCCCTGGGGCTGGAGAGCACCCGCGTGGCCCACGGGGACACTGGGAGTAGGCCACACAGCAGATCCCTGGACTTTTGCCAGATGTCAGCCCCACTTCTGGTGACTAGGTCCATCTTCCTCACTGAGGGGTGATAGGACCCGGCCCCAAGGAGGCACTGGTGCTGGGTTATGTATGCCGTGGTGTGTGTCGCTCCCCTGGGCCTTGTTCAGAGGCCACCATCCCTGGCTTTAGGGTCTGCTTCTCCCACCCACAGCAGCTTTGTTGAAGTCAGTCAACTCCCCTGAGCCTCCGGGCCAGGTTAAGGCACTCGACCTGCTATAACATCACAGCCCTGGAGGGGTCCTGCGCGGAGTGTGTGCCCTGCCGACCTGTGCCGCTGGGTGTTGTAGACAGGTTGTGTCAGAGGATACACACGCAGGCCACACCTTAGGAAGGGGCAGAGTGAACAGGGCCCTGCCCTCCTGTCTCCATCCGGCTGCCATGTGACTCCGAGAGCCCCATACCTGCCCTGGTTGCTCAGCTGTGAGGCCTTCATGCTGCGTCTTCCCCAGGCAGCTGGGCGCGTGCTGTCGGGTATCTGTGATCCCAGCACTCCAGGAGGCTGAGGCTGGATGACTGCAAGTTTGAGCCCAGCCTGGGAAGTTTAATGACTCAATGAGGCCCTGATAAAAAAAGTACTGGGATGTGGTACATCCAGAGGCTCTGGGTTCAGTCCCTCGCACAAAAACAAAAACTAAATCTTCATTAGTTCCTTTTGTTGGTTGGTTTTTTGAGAGAGGGTTTGGGCATGTAGTTGAGGCTGGCCTAGAACTCACTGTGTAGCCCAGACTGCCCTGAACCTCCTGTCCATACTCCTGCCTCAGCCTCCCTAGTGCTGGAATGACAGGCACATGCCACCATGTCTGGCAATTTTTTTTTTTAATTTTTAAATTTTGGGGGTTTTTGTTGTATTGTTTTGTTTTGGCTTGGTTTGGTTTCTGAAATAGGGTCTTGCTATGTAGTGCAGAGGGCCCAGAATTCACCATGTAGCCCAGCCTGGCCTCAAATTCATAACGATCCTCCTGCCTCAGCCTCCTGAATACCAGGATGACAGACATGCATTACCATGCCCAGCTGTATTTTCCTAGGATTTTTCAAAGGATTTTGCTGTACCTGTGTGCTGCTCCTTATGTGTTTAGTCCCAGCACACACAGACTTCCATTCTGCACTTTTCTGGGACTCCTCCCTTGCAGACCGACAGTGTTGGGTACCCCTGTGTGCTGTGTGCAGCCACAGGCCCTTAAGTAGGCTTCGGTCCTCTCTGGAGCCCCTTTCCTCTCGCCCCTCACTGTGAGTCACGTGAGTCACTGTGAGTCACCTCTTCCCAGGGTGGCCTGAGAGATGCGTCCAGCCCAGCTGGGGCAGCAGGAGGAGACGTTGTACAGGGCACACACTGTGCTGTGTGCTCAGGCCCCACGGAAAGCCCAGGTCTGCGCCCAATTTCGTGCCATCCTGTAATGAGCCTGGCCCGCCCCAGGATGTGTCCAGTCCTGCAGCAGCCGGCAGATGCCCGCCACAGAGGGCCCAGTCCCCGTCGAGCACGGCGTCCCGGCAGTGAGGTGTGGTCACTCAGGAACCAGGACAGACTCCACATTTCCCGGTACCCACGAGTCTGCCACCCTGGTCAGCAGAGCTCTGAGCCGTTAGGACAGACTGCGGCTCAGGGCCTTAGAGAAAACCGAGGCCCAGAGCTTCGTCCAGGCCTTGTCCCCTCTAGAGTGAAAGGCAAAGGGAGGCTGGCATTTTTACAGAGCTCTGCAGCCAAGAACGTGGGACAGGAGGTCCGCGTGCTGGCTGCGCTGCTGGGGTTTTTTCCTTCCATTCTTTTTTTTGACACAGTATATCCCTGTGTGGCCCGGGATAGCCACACTCATGATGACCCTCCTGCCTCAGCTTCCTGAGTACAAGGATTACAGGTATCCACTACCACTCCCAGCACAGCATCCACTATATTTTAGAGGCACCTAGGCCAAGTGAAAGGGACTGTTGTCCCCAGTCCCTGTTTGGAAGAAAACCTAACCGGCCCATATCGAAGATATGGAACCTGTTTACCTGTGAATCACATCTCTATATCTAGCCACTGACCTTAAAGGACTTACTGAAGGCTGGATGCTAATGACCTAACTCATTCCTTTTAGTTTTTCTCCTTTTTTTAAAATATGCTCCTTCCGGCCAGTTAGAAAAACCTAACTGGGCGTGGTGACCCTAGCCCTCGGGAAGCTGAAGCATAAGGATCATCCTCAGGTGCAGTGCCAGCCTGGGCTGTAGAGTGAATTCAAAGCCAGCCTGGACTACATAGCCAGCCCTGTCTCAAAAAAACAAACCTCGGGCTGAGGGTTGGCTCACTCTACCCGTTCCCCAACCCCTCTCCTCTTCCAGGATGATGCCAGCGCTCCCCACAAAATCCAGGAAGTTCTCAAGTCCTGCCTGAAAGAGGAGGAGCCCTTTAACATCCAGAACTCCATGTCGCCCAAGCTGGAGGGCGGCAAAGGGGACCAGGCCGATCTGGACGTGAACTGTCTCCAGAACAACCTAACCTGAAGCCGGGGAGAGGCCTTGGGGGCGGGGGGCGGGGAAGACCATTCTCTCCTCTTGTTCAGGTCTCTTTCTCCTAACCATTTGTTAAACTCTTTTCCTTTTCTGATCTCATGGCATGCTTTGATGTATTTTGTACAGGAGGGAGAAAAAAACAAAATAAGCAAAGAAACGGAACAGAATCGCGAATGTCGGGTCCTTCGTGCTGTCTGTACATTGCTTCCACCGCTGTGATTTCTAAACCTACGCTATTATTCAACTGACTTTTTTTTGTACTCTGACCCACCTTTTTTTGGAATATCAGTAAAAACAAAGTTCTTGAAATAAAACTTTTTAAAAACTCTCCGTTTTCTTAATGTCCTGGGTCACCCCCTACCCTGTCCTTATCTGCCTCTGAATTTTGCGTACAGCTCCACTGATCAAGGCCCGGGAATGGTCTGCATGTCCACTGGGGCTGCCATGCTGAGACTCGCAGGCTGGTTGAGAGGTGGCCAGTCCGTGGTGAAGGCACCTGGAGGCTGGTTCCGGAGGCGGTCTCTGCTTCCTGGGTTGCAGACAGCCACCTTCGCCTGGTCCTGAGCGGCCTTCTCCGTACCTCTGTGGAAAGATGAAGATGGCCAGGGTCTGTCTCTGTCCTCACAAGGACACTAATCCTGTGGCATGAGCATGTCATTTAATCTTAACTGGGGCCCAAAGGGTTTATTTCCAGTTACAATCATATTGGAAGTTGAGCCTTAGATACATGCATTTTGGGGGGAGGAAGGGGGGACCGTTCAGTCCATTTCAGTCCATCTCATCTCTTACGAATAGTCTTACTAGCTCTGGGCAGTGCCACACCCTTGTAGAACCATCACTTGTGAGGTTTGAGGCTAAGGCGGGAGAATTTAAAGTTTGATTTAGCTCTGCCACCCCACTCTCCCCGCTTTTCCAGGCTGGTCTCTTTCTCCTCCATAGAAAGAGAAAGAAGATTCCAAAATGATGCAAAGTAAGTTTATTTGCAGAAAGAAGCAGTACAAAGCCACTCTGAGAAGTGTGGGGGGGGGGTCCCCAGAGCTGAATGACCCCTGGATCCAGGGCAGTTCTCCTGTTTTATGGGGTAACGAGGTCCCAGGGCCATCTTATCCCTTCTGGACAGCTGTTTCTGATTGGGTGTCAGCTCATTGCTAGAGGGGTCTCTAGTGAAAATCTTGGGAGGGGTTTGAAAAGTCTTATTTTTGCCTGACTTTCTTGGAATGGTTCATACAAAGAAGAATTTAGATAATCTCTGAGTATATATAGCCTGGACGCTACCGCAGACAGTCTAAGCTAGCTAGCTTCCTTTCAGTTCTTCTTTTTTTTTTTTAATCTTTTTATTGGTACCGGGGATCGAACTCATGACTGCCTGCTTGCAAGGCAGGTGCTTATGCTGCTGAGCTAAATCCCCAGCCCTTCCTCTCAGTTCTTAAGGGGACCATCCCTACATTATGCCTGCCTGTTGAGATCCTGCCCTGCACAGCCTGGACTGTACAGTGAGACCTGGTCCTCCACTCTTGCTGGGCCTTGTAGTACATGCCATTAATCCCAGCTACTCAAGAGGCTGCGTAAAAATCATGAGTTCAGTACCTGGACAGCTTAGTAAGACCCTGACCTATCTAACAATCTCAAAATAACATTTAAAAAGAGCTGGCCATAGTGGTGCACCCCTGTAAACCCAGCACCTGGGCTGAGGCAGGAGGATCCCCATGAGCTCAAGAGCAGCCTGAACTATACAGTGAGGTCCTGTGTCAGAAAACCCCCAAAATAAGAACTGGGATGTAGCTCAATGTGAAGGCCCTGGATTCAATCCCAGTACTGAAAAAAGAAAAGACTATATACTCTTTCATAAATATGTAAGTGCTTATTTTGAGCCAGGTCCTGTGGTACATGCCAGGAATACTTAAGACTCTTGCCTCAAGATGTTAGTAGTCAAGGAGGATCCCAAGACCAGCCCAGCCTGGGCAACTTAGCAATTTAGAGAATGAAAAATAAAAAGGGCTGGGGATATAGCTCAGTAAAAAGGCGCTGGGTTGAATTTCCAGGATGCCAAAAAAGATTGTCTTAATAGTCAAATAACCAAAGTCTATGATGTACGGGTAGAAATCCAAGTGACACAAATTAATCTATATAATTTGTATGCACTAATTCAAAAATACTAAAAAGCCAAATGTGGTAGCACATGTCTGTAATCCCAGAACCTGGGAGGCTGAGGCAGGAGGATTACAAACAAGTTCAAGCCCACCCTGGGCAACTTATTAGACCCTGGGTCTTTGTTAGTTTTCTTGTCACTGAGATAAAATATTAGCCACCTGAAGTTAAAGGAGGAAAGGTCTATTTCCTCACAGCCTGTAGAGGATTCAGTCTGTAGCTGGCTGGCCCAAGGCAGGAGATATCACAGAGGAGAAATGGGCCATGGCAAGCAGGCAGAAGTCAGTGGAGCAGCAAACAGCAGCAGCAAGCAAACGCCCACCTCTCCCTTTCATCCCCTCCAGGATACCCACCTTTTGGGTGATGCCACCCACACCCAGGGTGGACCTTCCTGTTATCCAGTTATATCCATGCCTAGAAACATGCCAGACCAATCAATGGATTAATTTAGTAATCACACACCCTTGAACCCATCATCATGTGCCATAGACCCAGGCACCTCCAAAAAGCCCCCCCATGACTGCACGAGGCTAGATATAAGCCATGACACCCTGGTGTGTGTAGACCTGGGGTGTCTCCCAAGCATTCTGTGTTGAGAGGGGAACTCCTGGAAGGTGACTGGATCATGGTGAAGACTGGTACCATGGTAAGTCCGTGGTACAATGTGCAGTTAGGAGGCCACGGGATGACCTGGAGAATTCACCCCCTCCCTGGCTCCTCTCCTTTCTCGCTGTGCTCTCTGGCCACCATGATGTGGGCAGGTTTCATCTGTGGTAGCACCTCCCACCTCGTTTCTGCATCAGGGAACCTGCTGGCCGTGGGCTGTACCTTCTGACACCGTGAACAAAGAAAAGTTCCTTAGGTTGTGGGTGTTAGGAAAGTGATTAAGATGCCTCATCTCAAAATTTAAATTAAAAAGGCTGGGGATTATTCAATGTGAAGACCCTGGGTTCAATTCCTAGTACTGGGGTGAGGGAGATTAGAAAAGAAAAACTGTTACTTTACCTGGGCAACAGATGTAAATAATTATAATACAGTGTATCAGGATTTAATAGAGATTTATTGAAAAAGTTTAGAGAGGTTGAAATTGGGCGTGGAAAGTGTGTCAGTTACTTTTCTCATTGCTGAGACAAAATACTAACACCCAAAGTTAAAGGAGGAAAGGTTTATTTAGCTCACAGTGTGTGGAGGTTTCAGTCCATAATCAGCTGGCTCCAAGGCAGGGCTGCGTGGCAGAGAGGAGTTGTAAAAGAGAAACAGTTCATGCTGGGCAGAAAGTGAAAGCAAGCAAGCAAGAGACGACCATAGCTCTATTCCTTCCACCTGATCCAGGCTGCTTAGGGAAGGTGGCATGCACATCCCTCCTAGCGCCCTTGAGCCTTGCACTGCACCCAACCCCAAGGTCACACTCCAGACCCAGCCACCTCTGAAAAAGCCCCACCCACAACTGCATGAGGCTTCAGCGGACATCTAGACATAGCCATAACAGACAGATAAATAGGCATTGATACACAGGTGTGTTCTCAGGAGCACAGCCTGGGTGACCAGAAGGAGGTGTCCCAGGGATGAACTAGGGCCCACTGAGAACCTCGAATACTACTCGGCGCAGGCCTGAGGCAGGGCTAGGCTTTACAATCTGTTGAAAATTACCCAGTATCATCTTTATTTTTGTTAATGTCATTTGAAACAGAGTCTTGCTATGTAGTCCAAGTTCCCTTGAATTTATTGTGTAGCCCAGGCCTTAACCCTAACCCTCAGACACAGTGATCCTCCTGCCTCAGCCTCCTGAGTACTGGGATTTCAGATGTTTACCACCATGCCCAGCTATCATTTTGATGAGAGATATTAGGTATATGATATGTAAGTAGCAAAATATGTAAAAATTAATTTTTAATCTGCCTTGCTCTTTTAGTCTGGTGGCTTCATTGATTTATTCAAAAAGAGCAAAGTGGCTATCTTTCTTTCAGGGAACATGTTTGGCTCCTTTGTCAAAGATAAGGTGGCTGAGTGTGTTTGTAGTTGTACTGCAGCTTCTGTTCTGTTCCACTGATCCTCAGACCTGTTTTTTTGGTTGTTGTTTTTTTTTCAGTACCATGCTGTTTTTATCACAGTAGCTTTGTAGTATAATTTCAGGTCTGGGATTGTGATGCCCCTGATTTGCCTTTGTTGCCCAGAATTTCTTTTGCTATTCTAGGTCTTTTCTGGTTCCCAGTGAATTATAGGAATGCTTTCTCTCGATCTATGAGATATGTTGGTATTTTGACTGGTATTACGTTAAATCTGTATAACAGTTTTGGGAGTATGGCCAGTTTCACTATGCTGGTTCTTCCTATCCAAGAGCAAACAGAAACACAAATCTATTGGAAGAGGAAATAGGTAGAAATCTCAAAGACACAGGTATAGTCAGAGACTATATGAACAAAACCCAGAGTGCTAGGGAAATAGTGCAAAAAAAAAATCAGCAAATGGGATATCACCTTATTAAAAAGCTTTTGCACGTCAAAATAAATCACCAACAGAGTGAAAATATAACCCACAGAGTGGGAAAAATTATAGCCCGTTATCCCAAAAGGACTTATATCAAGAACATACAAAGAATTGAAAAAAATCAGAACCCTCAGATTCAAAGACCCAATCTATAAATCAGCATCTGAGATGAATATGCACTTCTCAAATAAAGAAATACAAGTGGAAAATAAATACAATGAAAAAGTCTTCAACATCACTGGTCATTCAAGAAATGCAAATTAAAACAGCACTGAGATTCCATTTCACTCCAGAAAAAATGGCTATTATCAACCAACAACAAATCCTGGAAGGACTGTGGGGAAAAAGGAACCCTTCTCCACTGTTGGTGGGAGTGTAGACTGGTGCAACCACTGTGGCGATCAGTGTGAAGACTCCTTTAAAAACTAAGATTAGAGGTCTCATTCACACCAGGTATTCCCCTCTGGGTATCTTCCCAGAAGAATTAAAAGCACCATACCACAGCGATATATGTGCACCCACATTTATAGGAGCACAATTTGTAATAGCTAAGTCTTGGGAAAACCCCAGGTACCCATCAACCAAGGATAAAATGATGTGGTGTTTTATATAATAATGTAATATTCAGCCATAAAGAAGGATAAACTGGAGACTTTTATAGGTAAATAGATGCAATTCAAGACCATACTCATA